AACTTTACGTAGTCTGTCATCTGAGTGTATCGTAGTCAGTGATTACGAAAATTCCACTCAATTGTAGATATTTTTGGATAATTTATATTATAGAATTAGTTGGACTATGTCAGTTGCTACGTTGTAGTTTTCCTTCCATCATGACGGACTGCCCTACACTTGACACGTCCCTAACATGATGAATTGGTAATTTCGGAGCATAAAAATTTACATTTTCCATTTAAACCAACAAAAAAGACAGATACCGAAACACACCCTACATAATGAATTACGATAGTGTAAATAATAATTCACGCTTCATTTTGGTTGGTTACCAAGTGCAAGGTCAAAATTGTGAACGAGAATGGAGTTTATCAACAGTCAACATTTTTCTCTAAATGTAAAGAGTTTGCATAAGTAATTTTAACACTTAGCATAGTATGATAATGTTGTTGGCTAATAATAAACAGTACGAATCCCTTCTTCATTCGACTAAAAGCTATTAGATCCAAAAAAGATGCATATGAACGGTCAAATACAGTCAAACTACATTACATGACAGCAGTGTTTAACTGATCTACAGAATAACAATGAAAAGTGGAACAAAGTAGTACTTCGATTTACTGGATACTACTCTTGGTTTGAAACTGTTCTTTTGAAACAGATATTACGGTGAATTGTTAATAAGTGATTATAAGAGCGGTCCAGTTCACTTAGTTATGTATTTAATTTTGTTATGCAAGTATACCTGCAGTAATACACAGAAGAAATAGTTCAGTATGGTGAAAACAATAGCAAAAACGTGAAGTATTCCTTTCCTTTTGAGAAAGCTGAGGATATTTTACCTACGTCAACAAGTGGAGATTTACAAACGCATTTAGTTCATTTGTAAGATTTTTATCTAATCATGCTAAATTTCATTCGTTTGTTCAGCATTTGTTAAAAAACAAATAAATATTATACATCATAAACGTAAAATACAGTTCTTGGGATTCAGATGATGATGTCATCTCTACTCATGACAATCAACATCAACAAGCCTAAGAACTAATTCAAATTGTAAAACTGTACACTTTTGTAATTTGACTTGGATAGTATTATGCTTAATGTAAGAATCGTCGGCTTAGGAATCCTAGGTTTTATAAAAAACATTATCCCTTTATCATATTATGTAAGTTTATGATATAATCATTTCAATTACTCAAAAAATGTATTGTAATCAACTTTGTTACTTGATAAGAATCCTTTAACATAAAGATTACTTTGAATTATTGAAAATGATAACATGTATGTTCAAGAAACATGCAAAGAAGCTATTATATCTGTTTTTTGTAAAAAAAAAAAAGGTATATATTCATTATCTGATTTATCACTCTTTTAAGGGTAATTTAGATCAAAGGAAGATTACAGTGAAATGAAAGTACCCACTTGAGATAGTGGACATTTGTAGCTCAGGTGGATGATTTTGATGGAGTTTTGTTCTCTGAGATGGATGGTTTGGTTGTGGAGCTTTCATCGTTTTTATGAATGACATCATCAGCACAAACTTCAGGTCGAAGTGAAGTGTTCGAATTTCTCTACATGTGGTTCACAGCCTGTCCTGTAGACCTCGATGAAAGCTCCACAACTAAACCATCCATCTCAGAAAACAAAACTCCATCAGAAAGGACCTGCTCGTGCACAAATTTACACTCACGAATATTTTTGAGTGTAATAAATCTTATGATATGATATGATGAAGGATATTGGTGGTTATTTTAATGATATTAATGTGAGTTTTAAAAGCGATTATGAAGATGAACAATATTTTAATTTTACCTCATATGATTAAATTAATTCATGGTTTTCAGTCTCTTTATCAGTTTATTAAATCAATGTTACATGTGCTCTCATAGATTACATTATATACCGTTGTAAATTCAATTATTCAAACTAGGATTATGTAATGACACATTTTTATAGGATTATTAAACCATATGATATGTAACGTATATCTATAATTTTATGAATATAACATACTAATAACGATATTTATACAATGAGTAAAACTAAGACAGTAATATTATGTAATACTAGTAAATGTTGAAAAGTAAATAGATACTCAATTAAGCACTCAATACATTTGTGTATTAATTTCGATACAAGTGAAAAAGAAAATCAACATTGAACAGTGCATTCAGTGAAGCAAGAAGAGCTTAGAATAGCTGCATTATTAACAGATTTACAACTACAGAGCATGTACAGATATATGTAGGAGTTAAAGGTTTTTATTTTATTTTTATTTTAAAAGAAAAAAAAACTATATTCTATTGCTCAAACTCGGAAAACACCATTCCCCTCATTAGTATGAGTGTTAACAAATGAACAAAGTAAACCGAATAAATATGATTGAACTGTATATTTTAGCATTGAAAAAAGGCGTGCAAACAAGTGCATGAATGAAGCGAATCAAATAGATTTCAATGTTTTATTGGTGAAAAGAATGAAAAGATAGTCAGTTAAATGTAAGTATAAAATGAAGAATCAGGTAAACTAAAAGAAATGTAATAACTAAGGATGAAGAATTTGCATGATTAATCCTATTAAGAAGTATAGGAAAAAAGTTTTAATCACTTGGCAGAGCAATTACCTTCATAAAAATCATCATTCATATAATGGGAAATTTTACAACGTAACGATGATGATGGATCGGGCATATTCAAATCACATGGCATACTAACACCAGATGTCATTGCTAAACAACCAAGAGAACTTAATGTACTACAAGTTCGAGGCGGTGGACATGGACGTGACATTCGAGGTGCTGTTTTTCGATTGATATGATATTGACTTATTGCTTGATGATGCTTTAAATGAACAGGTTTTGGCTGAATTGGAGGTGGTGATCTATTGTCAACAGAAGGAGAAACTGAAGAATTGATTGGGCTACATGAAGTTTGTTGTACAAACAAACTATGGTTAGAAGGTGGATGATCATCATGATCAATCCCATTCCCAAGTATTTTTTCCACATTAGATTCGGAAGGACTAAGACAAGGTGAGTGTTTGTTGCGATTTTCTTCACCGACTAATTTTTTCTGAACATACAACTGTGGTGTAAAGAAATCTTGTTCACAGTTTACACTTACAACGGATTCAGAAATACTTTCATTGTTATGGTGATAACAACTAGCGAAAGAATTCTGTTCATTACATCTTGGTAACTCAACAGCATTAGTAACACAGAAACACCTGTTAACTGATGAAACATGTTTTCGGGTTGATAAGGATCTTTGATGACTAGGTAATGTGCCAGTTGGTTGATTATGTAAACATTTTGAAAACATTCTATTTAGTGTCATAGTATTACTGTTATTAACTGATCGGTTAATATATATATAAAGTGGTTATTTTAATTAAAAACCATTTATTCAGTTAACAAAAAAAGAGGCAAACGCAGTATAAGATGAGCGAAATCAATCCATTCACACCCATAGTGTATGCAGAAAACAAAAGAGCACAAACCCAGAGTAGATCGGAACAGAACGGAGAGGAGAGATAAGAAAACAAGACAAATAAAAATAAACAATAGTTATGTGATGTAAAGAAAATAATTGTACATAATTTACATGTAAGAAGATTAATAGAAAATTGTATGACATGATCTTTACAAATTGATGTCAGTTGAATAAAATTTACTAAATTAAGAAAACAGAATTATCAGAACAGAGAGTTGAATAGCATGTCTAACCTTAAATTGACAAATCATGTCAATTTCTCATATGTTATTCTCAAAACGAAGTATTAAGTTAATCTGTAGAAATTAGAACTTCTGTTAAAAAATATTGATATAGAATGTTCATTGAAAATTTGGGAATTGACAGAAAGATATTTTGTTGGATTTCTCTATTTATTAAGTTGAACGTAGTCATCAGTCTTCTGCAGATAGAACCTATCACTATTAATTTGATACTTCATTATAGGTCTATATTGCTTAGACATTGAATATGGCAGGGTATCATTAATATACACTAAAAAAATATTACAGCCAAGTATATTTATCTATAAAAAAGTTATGACACCACTCATTTTAATAATCATTTTACCCATGGGGGTTCAGTAACAATAATAATGATGTAGGACATTCAAGTTACGAAGTAACTGACAGAATGCAATACTCAATGCTGTATTAAAATGAATCCAAAGATTCCATTTGCGAATTAGATTCAATCAATCCGTCAATTCAGAGAGGATAACCATTCAAAATAATCAGAGTTTACCTAGTTGTGTAAATGGACTACAAATATGTAGAATTTCAGCACGTTTTGTGATCAGTTTCTAACAACAACACAGCAAAATCATAAACATAAGTTAAAATATTTTTGTTTTACAGAAGACTACATAAAAAGGACAATACAAATCTGTGACTACATCTGTACATCTAAAGGGGGAAAGATTACATTGAACTCATGAACCGATTAATGTTAGATTACCATTAAAAACCTGGAAGTACTAGACGGCCGTTTCGTTCTAGTATGTAACTTCTCAACAGTGTGTATCCACAACCCCGGATACGGGACTCGAACTCACAATGTTCAGCCTCGCGCAAGAAGTCTTGAAATCTAGACCTCTGAGTTGGTGTTCAATGGTGTTAATGTCTAACTTCAGTCAATCCACGATATTGTGCGACAGTCTTCGATTGTTTTCAATGGGTAACTGCATCACAAATGACACGGATTAGCTCGACTGTGGTGTAAATAAATGTTGTTCACAGTTTTACATATAAAGGTTGTGTAATGTCGACTCAAATGTCTGGAGGTCAAGACTTCCCGCGCGAGACCGAACGTTGTGAGTTCGATTCCCGTGCCCGGGGTTGTGGACGCGCACTGCTGAGAAGTTACATACTAGGACGAAACGGCCGTCGAGTACTTCCAGGTTTTCAATGGTGACCTAACATTAATCGGTTCATGATCTCAATGAAATTCAACAATTTTTACGATCCCTAGCTGACAAAAAAGTTAATTAGAACTAATTAATTTTACCTGGCATAACTTGATCAAGTTCATCCATTTCCATACTGAATGGATCTGTTCCACTTCTTTGATATGAATGTAACTCATTATTACCAGCAACAACTGAAGTAGAATTAGCAGTAGAAGTGGCATCAGACATTGAAACAGTATCCAGACAATTTTTTGAACTGTGACATGAATTAGATAGACTTGTACTATTAGCTAATTTGTCAACTTGAGGTTTTAATACTGTTGAAGGATTAGCATACTTTCTTTCTTCATCATGATAACTTTGACTGACAGCTAAATCACTTAAATCAAGTTTATTTAAACTATCTGAAGCAGACCAATTACAATTATTCGTATTACCAATATTAGTAGTATTCGGTGAAGCATTTGTTGTATAATGATATTGTTGTGGATTTGTAGAAATTGAATTACGACTTGATGATTGATGATGAACAAATTGTTGTTGACAATTGGTCATATCAGTTTTAGCATAACGAAGTCTATCTAATGTACTATCTATATTTTCATATGAATGAACAATTGGTAATTGTGACATGGAAAATTTACGTTGTGCTGCATGAGCCAATTGAATGAGATTTGTATAGACTGGAGGTGGTACAGCTTGTTTCGGGTAGAGTACAGTGGACGAATCAACACCACTATCTTTGGAAGAAGCTTTGCCAACTTAATTTAATTCATTTTTTTAAAAGAAAACAAAATAAAGAAACAAGAGTAGAAAATACGCACACAAACAACAACACGACAATTATATCTAGCAGTAATTGAAAGAAAAAAGTATAAATACACATTGAAGGATGAGTATAGACTGCCAACACTTAATGAGACAGGCGTAAACAAAGTAGAATCTGTTAAAATTATACTACTTCATTATAAACATAGTAAGAATAGGAAATTAACAGGATGAGGGAAAAATTGAAATGTTTCCTTGTTCTAGGGTTTAGAGAGAAAGATAAGAAAGGAATCCATCTGTGTGCCACATTGTGTCTGATAATTTTCAGCCATTTCACTTAATATCTCTCAAAGCAGAGTTGGATTATTTTACGGACTACAAATAGTAAGTTTGAAAACTACAACCTGATTCATATTAACTCTCAGTGACTGAATAGATTAGCACGGTGTGTTGGTCTAGTCACCTTGAGTCTAATACAAACTAATTATTTAAAGATAAGGAAGTGAAAATGTAAAAGAGGATAACGCAAAAGGTGGTAGAATATCATACTAGTTCAATTTCAGTCAGTCTTAATCAACAAAGAGTATGGTGAAATTGGGGAATATTCCAAGCTGTTATACCGGATTAGCATGATGACGCGAAACTAACAAGGTGCATAGTAAAGGAATCAAAGTAATTTGTAGTAGTAATGATAATGAGAAAGACTAAACATTGAAAGTAAATTTCGAAGAGACAAAATGAAAAGTTATGGATGAAGGAATACTAGGACTCAAGATCTACAATGAGATAAACTTGACAGGTCTGAGTCAATAATCAAAACCCTACAGCCTTCAAATATTTTCTACTCCCATAGATCGTGTCCCGCAGTCGCAAAGCGATACAGAAAGGACTGGTATATAGTATACTAACCCTTTTGTTTGCAGACAGACATCCCTCCTACAATGAAAGTGACGCGAATTGACGAAAGCCGAACGAGCTTTTTGAATCCGTATCGAGATTTCGTCGGATACCAACCCGTCAGGGCTTGAGACTTACAAGATATATGTAGTTGTCAACATACTCGATTACTTCACTCCCTATGATTATGAACAATCAAGACTAATTGAAGTAACATACAACTTATTCCCATTTGTAAGCCAATAATCCATTCAAATTTAGCCACTGGTTTTATATCATTCCTCATGAAGGCAACGAATACCAGCCAACCAGAAGTTTCTGAATTTTATATTGAAACTATGATTGAAAAATCAGATTCATTGTTTACGAAGAATGATTATGATTGAAGGGTCAGCAAGTGAACAGTTCGCAAAGTTTTCAATTCATTACTCAACTTACCTGGTCTATAAATTTGGTTGTGATGACACTTAAATCTCAAAAGTATAAGTATACGTATGCCCGAACACCGATTACCACGACGCGCAATGCTAACCGGTATTGGAGATGGTTGGAAAAAAGTTAGGGGCGGCAAAACCAAAACGTGGCATCAGTGCTTGAAGTCACTAACTTCTAGTCTGAGCCATGTTGGGAGATGCAGAATACTTGGTTGGGGTCCGCGTGACTATCATAACCAATGGTTGGAGACTCTGGATGACATGGCTCAGAATCGATCACAATGGCGTCGGTGTATACACTCTCTGTCTTACCTTAAACTAAGAGATTAAAATCGCTTCATATCTTTCTTTCTATGAACTAATTCTTTCTTCCTGTACTTTATCCTTGTTGAAATATTTCTTTTATATATTACCACTTCTGCATTAACTACTTTTATAAATCCGGTGTTCATCTTGTTGTGTTAATGAGGTATGGCAACTTGGACCGATGCATATATGTGCCTGGTCCCACGTTGTAGCTGACTGACTGAAGTATAAGGGCAGGATTTAAAAGTCGGGTTAGGGGTTCGAATAGCACTTCCGCTTAGTATATATATATATATATATATATATATATATATATATATATATATGTATATATACATCATCACAAAGTTGTGTAACATTTCGAAAAGCTCGGAATAAGTAGTGTTTGTGTATTGCGTAAAACAACTTACCGGGTGGATTGAAAGACAGAGCAGTTATAGAAGCCCGCGTAGGAGCATGACCTCCTCGTTCATAAGCAGAACTTATTGTATGACGACCACTATTTGGAATTGGAGGATTACCAGTAGTACCAGCAGTAGTAGTAGTGGTAGTAGTAGTATTCGATGGATAGTTTTCCAATAGAAAATGTTGATTAGCAGAATTAGATAAGGAAGGAGATGTAGGATTATTTGATAAATACGCAAGAGCATTGCCAGAATCACTGCCTACTTCAACATACTCACCACCATCACTAACATCATCATCGTTACTATCATCATGATTCTCATCATCGTCATCATCATCATCAGTGCTCATTTCCAGTTTACTTTCATTGTCAGTCCTTTTTATATTTTCGACTTCATTATCATCATCTCTTTTTAATGCATGGTCTTGACCATTCGTAGTGATATTATTATCATTATTATTACTATCAGTTAATTGAGACTGTGCACTGAAAGCAATCATAGATTTAGCTACCATATAAGAATCGATTTTATCATGATGAAAACCATTTTTCAAATAATTTTTTGGAAAATCATTATCTCCATTACTTGCAGCTCGATAGTGACCTGGTCGACATAAAGTTTTAAATTGCGATTCTCCCTAAAATTAAAATAAATAGCACTCATAAAAATTAGTAGTAAAGCAATTAGCACAAGCGAATTTGTAGAGACTAGAATTTTCAAAGTTCAAATGAAAAACTCATCTTAGTTAGACCACAAATGAAAATCTAGAAGTAGCAGACAACCATTTCGTCCTAGCATGGGACTCCTCAACAGTGCATCACTAGTGAGCACTGCCGGATGCGAAACATTTATCCACCGTAGACAATGGATGAGGGCTGTGAAATATCGTGAATTGATTGGAGTTAGACACTAACACTGTTGGGTTCCGGCCGGGTAGTCTAGAGATCAGGTATTCGCGTGTGAGGTCGTGAATCCAAACTGCTAAGTCCCACACTGGGAAGAAACGGTCGTCCAGTGCTTCCAGGTTTTTGAGAGTGATCTAGCTGGGATCGGTTCGTGATTTAAACTATCAAAATAATTATTAATCAATTATTTAATGTTGAAAAGTAGACGATAACACATTGTTTACTGAAAGTGAACCAGTTAACTTCATTTCCTTCTAAAAGCACTTTCATGGAGGTATCCATATACAGTACAATTACGATTAAAAGAGTAAAACAGATGAGTTTGAATAATCTTACTGGTCTTCCAACTAATAAGTTATTCACCTTGATTGTTGATCACAAATAAAAAGTATTTTTCTCAATCTAAACATCTCTTATAGTGATAGTCTTCATTATATTGACCGAAATGGATCACTAAAATATCAGTGATTAAAAAAAATGAATTAGCTATTACTTTCAGTTGGATTGCTATGTAATTAACGAACAGATATGTGCTTAACTATAGAACTTAGCGACGATTGCTAAAGGCTAGTTAGGTTTTGATAGCTATTAAATAAACCAAAAACTGATTACAGCATGCAATTACGTCACTACGATTGCAATTAAATTAGTTTTCCATGACCATGTAGAAAAATCCTTTCAAATTTTATTGACAGTTAATATGAGTTTTTCCAGCTCTAACCAATATATTCTTCGCTTAGGCTCATTTGATAATTATTAGCAGTATTTTAAATAAATAGCATAATATGAGAAACTAAATAACGATATTAAAATAAAAATCGTCTTATATAAATTAGTATTTAGTTGATGATAATAAACGAAATAATTGTTTGATCCTAGGTCTCAAATATTTTATACTTCACTAAAATCACAAACCGATCAAATCTAGATAGCGATTGAAAACTTGGGAGCAATGGACAGTCATCTCATCATAGTAAGAGAGTCCTAAGTAGCGCGCGTCCACTACTCTGCAGGAGGAAATCGAACTCAGAACCTTCGATCTTGTGTGCGAACGTTTAATCTCTAAACCAGTGAGTCCGGATTCTGTACTTAGTCCAGGTGAGTCATGATAGACAGTCAAAACAGATATGGACAGTCATATCGATATTTTAAAAATCCTTTCATTTTCATAATTTACCGACAAAAGAAGGTATAAACTCAAAAATATTTCTGTAGATTAATCAATGCTCGGTTTGGCAAAATCGTCATTGATTTTAATGAGAATTAGTAACTTCTGAAACAATCAACTACTGTATGATGATTGAAATACAGATAACTTTCTAGGATATATGTTGTCATATTATACATAAATACTGACTTTGATTATAAGACAAGATATATTACGGACAGCGCTGAAGATTCACTACAACACAATAGATCATCTGGCCTTCGGTTACTCTTTAAATTAAAGTGAAAGATTGATATATCAATTTAAGATGACATAGTCTTCAAAAATAATATTTATTGTTATAGACATTACATGTGTGAACGCGTATTTTCTTTCATCTTATATACACAACAAAGAAAAACACAGATAATCGATCGTTTTTATGTGATCAAAAGCTATAAACACTAAATAATGGAGACAGGAATGCGAAAATCCATGGGAGATGAAATAACCATGTAGATTGGATTATAAAGGAACGTATATGCTTATGTATTTCAGTCGTACAAGTGAATGCTAATATTACTGAACGTAGATGTGAATAGTTAAGTGGAATGTAAACATATCCAAATCAACACACGGACACAGAGAGGTGAATATAAATGGACAAGGACGCGTGTGTGCGGTGGTGGTGGGGAAGTTGAATATTCAGGTAGACAAAATAACATCCATTCATGAAGATACTTCGTGTTAGTGAACTGGAAAATGACGAGAACAATAATAAACATAGATGAGAACATTCTGCTAGATAGAACATACATTTCAGAAAACAAAGTATAAACAAGCTACAAAATAGGTAGCTCGTTAATGTGGTTATTTAAGTGGAAATTCAGGGGAAAAGCTTTGAAAACACAAAGAGAAAAGTACACAAATAATAAAATAACTACTTTTTTTCAGATGGAATTTTATTGGTTTTATACAACTTGAAGAACATTATCACCATGAATTGACATTAATTATAAAACCATTGACAGTCATGGAACATTGAACAGTTGATTTATTTTAATTTGTGACTCTTCTGCAATGTGCACTTATGACCTAACGAACAAGAATGAACACAGAAACTTCAGGCCTTAAAGTGAAAATGATAGAATTCGAATTACGATAGAGTATGTGTTCAATGGCTCTTCAGCTCTCAAATAATGTCAGTTTGTAATGAAAATAGCTTCATAAAATAACTATTCATCATATCAGTTTCATGATTTAAGCTTATAAAACAAGCTATCATCAAAAATTACGTTTTAAAACGTCCCATATTAAACAACGTGAAAACACTGACGAAATGTGAATAAACTAAGTTAAATATGAAATATGAGACTTTCGTTTTTACTACTCATGTAGAAGTAGGAATGAATGTCAGCTGCCAGGTCTGCACAAACGTTTGGGCTACCACTTTTGTAAATGTCCACTCATCACCAAAATTATGTTCCTGTTTTAGATCTGTTTCAATCAATTAATTAAAATTATCGACTGCGTGTACATAGGCGGCTTCATAAAATGTACACATAACGAAAAAATTTTTATTGAAGAATTCGAGATGCACTACCAAAGTACTCTGTATATTTTCCTACTCCTGTTTTTGGAGAGACCAGACGCGATTACCATAGAATCTGTACATCAAATATATTCAATGATGAGAAATACCATAAGAGCAAGAACGACCGTAAACAATTACGGATGCATCTCAGTGGCAGCTAATCACTGATTAAAGACTTATTGCTAAGGCGATAACAGAATTAGTAAACTTTTGCTAAAAATGTTAGAATATTACTAGTAATGGTAACCATGATTGGCATTTTCTAATTCAGTTTATCTCATAGCTTTTGCCCTTTACCGATTGACTTTTACTACTTTTAGTCGTTAATTCACTGTAGTTAAGGGTTGTACTTCCGTTACCATGGTTAGTGAGACGCACTATTTTATTTAGTTTTATTCGAATTTCACGTTTTTTCCTACATTCCTTCGTGTCCTGGCGGCTAATTGCCGAAGTATTGTATGCCAGCTGCCTTTATCGAGTCCACAATAGAACTGTTTACAATAGGATACATCATTCGTTCCTGAATTGATAAGAAGTGTAGGAAATCCCAATATTAATCGTTTTATAAAGATCTAACATTTATACATATTTCTTGAATATTCACAAATGAAACGCTTATTAGATGAGAATCTTGTAGCGATTCCACATACTTTGTTCTGAGGATTCTTTACTTTAATTAAACATATGGTGGTGAATAAACCGAGTATTATTATTATCACATTAATGAAAGTATACTAGACTGACGACCTTGAGAGGTTCGTCAGCCAATGAGTAAACGCGACATAGTTACAAAACAACAGACAATAACAACCAATAAAATAAAAGTACAATAGCAGCTTGTTATCTCAATATTTTACCCTTACATGCCGAACCATTCTTTGTAGTAAAGGAAAAAGGTTAGTTTTACGTATTAGGAGTCGGGTAGTATTCTGAGTTTTCATCGTTATATAACATGGGTTATAATTTAGAAAGGTTTGAGTTAGGTATTAAGAGTAATGTTGGAGTTTTGAGTTGTGTTTACAAATGAAGGTTGGGATTTTCAATATGAACTGACATCAGTTATAATTCAATGAATTGTCACCCTTCTGCTTACAAACTTGGGAGACAGGGTTGAAATTTAGAGGAAGGGTTGGAAAGGGAGCATATTATATAGATTTATCAAACACTTGACTATTCATTGAGTCATATTAAGCACTTTACCAACGATTTATCTTAGGAGCAGGTATGTTTTGATATATAAGTTAAGCACCATCTTAAATCCTCATTTCGGTTGCGCAATGGATATTTTCAATGATTCCGAGAATTTTAAGGATTGATTATTGTCAATTTTCATTCAGTTACTTTGATCATCCAAGTTACCCATCACCCCACCTTAGATTTCGCGCGAAATACATGATGAGCTATCTTGATTCTGACTGGTCAACTCAAGGCCGTCAGTATATTATAATTTTACCACCGTCTAGTTAGCACATAAATGAGTACTGTCTAATTGGGAAATAATTTAATGACTTTAACAAGAAATAGTATTGTGAGTGCTGTTTAACTCAATAAATGTTATGTAGATTCTGAGAAGGATAAAATTTCCGATAGCGTGCACATGATAAACGAGAGACAGAGGAAAATTAAGATTGAATGAATGATCAAAAATTACAAACAAAAACATGAAACTTATTGAACCTGAAGAGCGATAATTACCTTCGTCCCGACACTTACGGTAAAACCCAGAAATTACATCCTAAGCTATTATAACTTGTATAATTTAGTCCATAATGCAGCTGGGAAATGTATGACACATTGTCTACCTATTGTAGATTTTGATCAGTATGGAATAAGGCGTCAATCTTTCCCCGAGATCTTGAAGTTTATAG